TGAACTTGTACATACTGTATACCTGCTCCAACTGGGATTTGAACTTGTACATACTGTATACCTGCTCCAACTGGGATTTGAACTTGTACATACTGTATACCTGCTCCAACTGGGATTTGAACTTGTACATACTGTATACCTGCTCCAACTGGGATTTGAACTTGTACATACTGTATACCTGCTCCAACTGGGATTTGAACTTGTACATACTGTATACCTGCTCCAACTGGGATTTGAACTTGTACATACTGTATACCTGCTCCAACTGGGATTTGAACTTGTACATACTGTATACCTGCTCCAACTGGGATTTGAACTTGTACATACTGTATACCTGCTCCAACTGGGATTTGAACTTGTACATACTGTATACCTGCTCCAACTGGGATTTGAACTTGTACATACTGTATACCTGCTCCAACTGGGATTTGAACTTGTACATACTGTATACCTGCTCCAACTGGGATTTGAACTTGTACATACTGTATACCTGCTCCAACTGGGATTTGAACTTGTACATACTGTATACCTGCTCCAACTGGGATTTGAACTTGTACATACTGTATACCTGCTCCAACTGGGATTTGAACTTGTACATACTGTATACCTGCTCCAACTGGGATTTGAACTTGTACATACTGTATACCTGCTCCAACTGGGATTTGAACTTGTACATACTGTATACCTGCTCCAACTGGGATTTGAACTTGTACATACTGTATACCTGCTCCAACTGGGATTTGAACTTGTACATACTGTATACCTGCTCCAACTGGGATTTGAACTTGTACATACTGTATACCTGCTCCAACTGGGATTTGAACTTGTACATTCTGTATATCTGCTCCAACTGGGATTTGAACTTGTACATACTGTATACCTGCTCCAACTGGGATTTGAACTTGTACATACTGTATATCTGCTCCAACTGGGATTTGAACTTGTACATACTGTATACCTGCTCCAACTGGGATTTGAACTTGTACATACTGTATATCTGCTCCAACTGGGATTTGAACTCAGATGTACCGCACCGAGGAGCAATAATGCAACCCACTCAGACAACATGCCATACCATTCTGTGCACACTTGCAATATTCAAGGGTCTACATCAGAGGTGTCAAACTTATTTTGGTTGAGGGCCGAATAAAAAATGACAGGGGCCGAAAGAATGAGTGGGTTTCATTTATTACAGCTCCAGGACTCCCTTGAAAAAGAGGTTCTTAATCTCAATGGGACTTGCCTGCTTAAATAAAGGTTAAATAAAGGTTAAATTAAAAAATATATATTATACTTTTTTATAATATGAACTTGTTTCGCATTAGTTAGATTGGATATTATTTTCTGATTAAAATTAGTTACTCTGGACTGAACCAAAACTGTACCAAATATTTAAGGTATTTAGGAAGATTTTCTACTTCCGGGCGGATCATCAACACTATTGGTCCTCCCAACTGTCAATCATTCTGGTGATTTGTGCTCGTCAAATAAGACCAGAGAGTTTTGTTCAAAAAGTGTAGAGGGCAATTCTTTCTTAAAAGGAAATCGTCCTTTTTAATGTAGAAGACTCGTAAAAAGCATAACATTAAAACACTAACTTCTAATTACATTTTAACATTTCTTATGGAATTCCATTTTATGGTTGTTTTCTTGAGAAAAACAGTCATGGATAACATGCCATTGTTGCCTTTTGCCATTAATGCTGCTATTTAATATAATAATTCAAAATCATCTCAAGGGCCACTGGAAATGGTTTCGCGGGCCGGATCTGGCCCCCGGGCCTTGACTTTGACACCTGTAGTCTACATGTTGAAAGTGCAGCGTACTTGAACAGAGACAGCTCAACTCAAAGAAGGCCCTGAGCCAAGCTTCATAAGTAATATTTACTTACTGGGAAAAATCAATTTAAAGTAACTTAAACTTACGTAAAGATTGAAGTTAGGTAGGTTTAGTAAGTAAGTAAGTAATCTTTATTTAGAGACTTCTTCATCATTTACAGAGCTGCGTATAACGTAGTGAGTAATGTTTATTTATATAGCGCCTTTCTCTGGCCACAGTCAAAGCGGTTTATGATTCTGGGCATTGTCCTCTCACTCACTGTGGGCGGCACGGTGGCTGAGTGGATAGCACTCTCGCCTTTCAGCAAGACGGTCCTGGGTTGGAATCCCGGTCGGACCAGGGCCTTTCTGAGTGGAGTTTGCATGTTCTCCCCGTGTCTGCGTAGGTTTCCTCCGGGTACTCCGGTTTCCCCTACCACTAAAAATATGTCCAATAGTTCTGGCATGTGCCTCCTGTACTTGCCCCGCTCCCATCTCTGTGTGGAGTGAGAGACAAATGCCCAAAATTAACAATTGTAAACCGCTTTGAGACTCAGATCTGCAGTGAAAAGGCGGTATATAAATACAAACTTACTTACTTACTTACTATTTATATATCGCCTTTTCACTGCACATCAGAGTCTCAAAGCGGTTTACAATTGTTATTTTTGGGAGTGGGGCCAGTACAGGAGGCACATGCCAGACCTATTGTACATATTTTTAGTGGTAGGGGAAACCGGAGCACCCGGAGGAAACCTACGCAGACACGGGGAGAACAAGCAAACTCCACTCAGAAAGGCCCTGGTCCAACCGGGATTCCAACCCAGGACCGTCTTGCTGAGAGGCGAGAGTGCTATCCACTCAGCCACCGTGCCGCCCACAGTGAGTGAGAGGACAATGCCCAGAATCATAAACCGCTTTGACTGTGGCCAGAGAAAGGCGCTATATAAATAAACATTACTCACTACGTTATACGCAGCTCTGTAAATGATGAAGAAGTCTCTGATTGAAACCTTCCTTCACGAACTACAAAGTTGAGTATTTGTTTTAATGCATTTCTTGGATTCATATCATTGTTTAAACGAAATTGTGTGAGTGTTCCAGATATTTATTTACTTATTTTATTTATTGATTTATTTGATAGGGACACTACAACATCTATAGCCAAGGCTAGTTTGCAATGTCCGTCCCGAGGAGGGCTTTTAACACAAATAAAACACATTTCACATTATAAAAGTCACATTAAACAAAAGCAGGTGTTCTCCAACTCATTGACGCTCACACAACTGGTTTCTTTTAAAAAATCGCTTGAGTTTGTGTTTAAAACCAGCCCAGTCAGAGTTCAGTTTTAGCTGAGGGCTTAAAGAGTTCCAGAGTTTTGCCCCCTGGACCGACTGCCCGAATGTGGTTCTCCTGACGGGCCTCACATTCCCGTTAGAGGAGCCCCGTGTGATGGATCTCAGGGGAACTATGAGAGCGCTCAAGACAGCAGGGGCTCCACTGTGCAAACATTAAATAAAATTATCAAAATTAAGAAAATGTAGTCTCTGCAACAACTGGCAATGGTGTGTTCTATCCAACAACTGTGATCATGAAGGCTGTTCTCGGCCACCAGGCTTTATGAGGCAGTGATCATATAAACACAAATACATACAAATAGGATAATTGACTGAATAATAATGTTAATGAGTTTTGTTGTCTGTTCCTATCCCAAAAAAGAATGAAAAGAAGGAGTTGCTCAGAGATTGACGGAGAGATGCCGTGGCTGTGTTTCTGGATCACAGCTGAGCAGACTTGGTTTGAGTCGCTGGAGAGAATCATGGCTGTAACTTTAAGAGAGCGCAGTGAGCACAGTTCATCCTGCCACCTGTCACACTCCTCTTCGTCAAAGTACTTTCCCTTCTACTTCACACTCGTAACGGAAGGAAAAATAAAATAAAATACTTCATGTGTCCACTGCCTCCTCCGTGGGTTGATTTGGACAAATGTAGCATGTGTACGAAGTTAGCATGTACAAATGTAGCATGTGTACGAAGTTAGCATGTACAAATGTAGCATGTGTACGAAGTTAGCATGTACAAATGTAGCATGTGTACAAAGTTAGCATGTACAAATGTAGCATGTGTACGAAGTTAGCATGTACCAATGTAGCATGTGTACGAAGTTAGCATGTACAAATGTAGCATGTGTACGAAGTTAGCATGTACCAATGTAGCATGTGTACGAAGTTAGCATGTACAAATGTAGCATGTGTACGAAGTTAGCATGTACCAATGTAGCATGTGTACGAAGTTAGCATGTACCAATGTAGCATGTGTACGAAGTTAGCATGTACCAATGTAGCATGTGTACGAAGTTAGCATGTACAAATGTAGCATGTGTACGAAGTTAGCATGTACCAATGTAAGTAAGTAAATAATGTTTATTTATTTGCGCCTTTCTCAGACCAGAGTCAAAGCGGTTTACAGTTGTGGGCGTTTGTCTCTCACTCCACACAGAGATGGGGGCGGGGCCAGTACAGGAGGCACATGCCAGAACTATTGTACATGTTTTTAGTGGTAGGGGAAACCGGAGTACCCGGAGGAAACCTACGCAGACACAGGGAGAACATGCAAACTCCACTAAGTAAGGCCCTGTTTCGACCAGGATTCAAACCCAGGACATTCTTGCTGAGAAGCGGCAATGCTGTCCACCTAGCCCTTGTTCCGCACTAAATGAGATTCAAAAAACAGCCGATTTAAGCATCAATCCCCTCCTTTTGTATCACTTTTTGCAGGTCTCTCTCTGTCTGTCTCTCTTTCTCGACTCGTGGAGCGTACACAGAAGCGTCTGGTGTCACATCCCATCCCCTCTCGCCGTGAGAAACGTCCACAGTTTGACACTTGTCCGACCGGAGCCATCTCCAGCCTTCTCCTGCAGCCGTACGCTTTGCTAATCCGGCCTGACACGTCGCCTGGCTCGGTGCAGGGAATCACTCTCGCCTGAAAACAATCCCCGCTACTCCCAAATCAGCAGCAGCAGCAGCATCAGCAGCAGCAGCAGCAGCAGCAGCAGCAGCAGCAGCAGCAGTAGCAGCAGCAGCAGCAGCAGCAGCAGCATCAGCAGCAGCAGCAGCAGCAGCAGCAGCAGCAGCAGCAGCAGCAGCAGCAGCAGCAGCAGCAGCAGCAGCAGCATCAGCAGCAGCAGCAGCAGCAGCAGCAGCAGCAGCATCAGCATCAGCAGCAGCAGCAGCAGCAGCAGCAGCATCAGCAGCAGCAGCAGCAGCAGCAGCAGCATCAGCAGCAGCAGCATCAGCAGCAGCAGCAGCAGCAGCAGCAGCAGCAGCAGCAGCAGCAGCAGCAGCAGCAGCAGCAGCAGCAGCAGCAGCAGCAGCAGCAGCAGCAGCAGCAGCAGCAGCAGCAGCATCAGCAGCAGCAGCAGCAGCAGCAGCAGCAGCAGCAGCAGCAGCAGCAGCAGGAGCCTCCCGGTGATCCCGCCTGTCTGCCCATCACACTCCCCTGCCATTACGCCTGCTCCGGAGCCTATACTCTTACTCTCTTGTCTCCATTTGTCTTTGTCAGCCGTGGTTCTCGATCTAGGGCCGTCCCGCTCAATCTCGGCCTCTCGTCTTCCCCACGGCTCGGCTCCTCTGTGGGTTTATCAGACAGATGGAAAGACAAAGTGATTGCTGCGTGAAGGATAGTGCTGTTTCATTGAACGTTACCTGTGGAATATTGAGGAGAGGAGTCAGAAAGGTTGGTTTATGTTCTTCTTCTGGCCCCATTAAGCCCAATTCATGTTCATCATCAGAAATCCCTAAGACTATAATTCAGAGGGTGTTGTAGAATTATAATGTTGTATACTAATGATTTCCAGTAGGTGTTTGTATAAAATGTCTTTGTGCGATATTAAAGCCTGGATTTAATGGAATTCAGACAAGCACCAAGGACAAGGCTTCTGTGATAAAAGTATCATTTTCAGGAACAGCGTGTCTCTCTTATCGGGACAAGGCCTGAGACACAAAACTGGACTAGGCCAGACTGGGACCAGCCTCAGACCATGTGACGTCATCGGACATTCTGATAAAACTGTGGGGAGGAGACATTGTGGGGATTCGGAGCACAGGGATAGATTTAGGGAATAGCTCCTGGAGTTCTGTATCAACATTTAATTGTAAAGAGAAATAAATGTTCTATTGTAACTCTTGAAATCTTGGCCTTGTTTTTGCACCAAATTCTGAACGCGTCAGTCAAATCATTTTTGACAACAAGGGTTAAAATCAAAAAGGTTTTATTCCCTTTCCCTGAGCGACAGTGGCTCAGTTGGGCCCGAAGGTCGTGGGTTTTGAGCCAGACACTTAACCCCACTTTGCCTGGAGCCCCCGCTGAAAGCTCAAGGCTCCTGCAGGAAGATCAGTGAAGGACTGGTGCTATGTGTACTGAGTGCTTCTTTGACTGCCACCCCCCGACCCAGAAATGGATTAAGGGGAAGAAAATGGATGGAGGTTTATTCCCTAATGAGTTCTAATAGCAAAATGTAATGTTCTATAACTATTTGTACTTAAGGAGGAGCTCTCTCATGCCTGCTGGTCTACCTCAGAGTGCCAGAATCACACTGAACTTGGTTAAAGCACAGTGGGTGAACTGTGAGGATTAACACATGGTTCAGAGGGTTTTGTTTTATGGCAAGAAGGCATTTGGGATGATGTTTGAGTTAGTTAAGAAGCAGTTTGTTAGTGAGTTTAGTTAGATAAGATAAGATAAGATAAGATAAACCTTTTATTAGTCTCACAGTGGAGAAATTTCAGTGTCATCGTTGCACATTACAGCAGAGAAAGGAAATAAGAGCACTCAGATTGCACACATCAAAGTCTATTATTTAAGATAATAGACAATAAATTTAAGATAAAATAAAATAAAATAAGAAAATCTGGGCTACAATTGCACTTGGTTCGGAGTATTTACAGATGTCTATATTATTCATTAGCAGCGGAGAATATGAGAATATGAGCAGAATAAACATCAGAAATAATATCAACAGGTAAAGTGACTTGAATGGGAGAATTATCAGATGGATATGAATAATACAGTAAGATATCCCATTGTGCCTCAGAGAGAGACTGATGGAGTGTCCGAGGAGCGGACTGCAGAAGCTTTTTCTTTTTGCAAATGCTTGTTCTTATCATGTACTTTTACTTTCATTAAACCACACAAAATTTAACTCTGTTTCCATAGATAATAATTTCAAGAAAATTAGGTATAATGTAATCAACTTCAGACATATTAGATCTTGTCTCTCTTTGGAGGCAGCCAGGATATTCATGCACGCTCTTATTTTTTCCCACTTGTCTTACTGCATCACCTGTTGGGGACAGGCTGGAGAAACCGCAATTAGACCGTTAGAGTCCGTGTACAAGCAAGCCCTAAAGATTTTTGATAAAAAGCCATTTAACCATCATCATTGTAGCATCTTGACAAAATACAATTTCTTGAGTTTTGAAAATTTTAGAACTTTCTCATTACTATGTTTGGTCTTTAAGATCCTGAAGGGCTTGGCTCCTGGCTGTTTACAAACCTTTGTGCGACAGCGCTCTGGGAGTTCTTTAAGATCTACTCGAGCAGCTTCTCTACATGATTGCATTGTACCTTTCCGTCATTCCACCTTTGGTCAATCAGCGTTTGCAGTGAAGGCTGCTAAACTGTGGAACCAACTACCTGACAATATAAAGACATGCACAGCCATCAAGGGCTTTAAAACTGAACTCAAAAAGCATCTAAAAAGTAGCCAGCATTGTACACACTAGCCATGCCAGCCCTCTTTGGTTTTTACACTCCCTCTGGTACTGACTTATTTGTCTGTATTTGTGTTGTTGATGTGTCTTGTCTGGGTTTTATGAATCTGTAATGTTGTATGTGGTTTGTCTCTCCTGGTCGACCCCTTGTCTTGTGAATCTTGTCTTTTTTCTGTTATGGGTCGTCCGTTCCCTGCCAGGGACTGCAGATGTAAATTAGCCTCAGGCTAACTCTGGTACAATGCATCAAATGGCAACATTTATGTTATAATTGTACATGGTCCCTTTTAAATAAATAAACTAAACTAAACTAGATCCTTAATTAATTTCCACAACAGGATCCAGTCTTTGCCCCCTTCACCTCTGGCCTGAAGACCAATCCATCCCAAGGGTTCAAACATAAGAAGTTAAAGTCACTGATTCATGATAAAGAAGGCTATGGGTGGGGAAAGGCGTTTAGTTCAAGAAGTGTAAAGCTGGAAGAGAGCTCCTGGTTAAACATGAGAATAGTTCAACAATTTCATATAAAACATTACAATTTACTTATTATATGATGAATACATGTTTTTTTTTTTTTTATAAAGCTTTATCGTGTTTATTAGATAAATCACTGACAAAGAAGTGGATCCTCCAGCTCCGGTCCAGACCAGGCCGAGCCCCGACATGTGGAGATTGGCCCCGGGGCGCTGCTGAGCTCCTGACAGAGGCCCCTAGTGGCAGCGTGGGGTAAATGCAGAGGACAAATTGCACTACGGGGATCAATAACGTGTACCTTAACCTTAACCTCAGCCATTTAAGCAAGAATCAATACTGAGCAGCAGAAAATTAGAAAAGTACGTTTAGGACAAGTGTGTTTCTAATGGAGCTGGTGTTTTGTGCTAAAAATCACAATATCAACATTTATCGCTGAATTGAAATCGAGTTGGAAATTATTTTTGATTCAACATTCATTTTTCTTGTTAAAGTAAATAATGTCATCTCTGAGAGTACTTTAAACATAAAAGAAATGAAAATAATTATAAAAAGTGAGAAGTATTTAGCTAATAACATACTGACAGGGACATCACTTTCCGTCCAATCTGTCACAATATTTTTGGCTAAGAATTTTGGGAAAACAACATCCTGACACTATCCCACACAGTTGATGTTGATGTGATGTCGCTCAAACTTCGGAAACTGGAGTCGCTCGAGCGCCCACGTCTTAATCTACATATGAGGAAGGTGGCAGAAGTGTTTGGCCCAAAGAAACAATGGAAATTTGAGGAGGTACAAGCGCAGATTCAGCAAAAACACTGAGCCACCAAGTAATACTAAACCAATCTTCGTATTGCAAAAAAAGGCAATAAGAGTGATTAGATTATCAGCCTGTACAACAAGCCAACAAATGGACTCTTTCAATCTACAATTATTAAAATTCTATGTTTTAGTCGACCTTTACAGTTTGATAGTAATAGATAAAAAATAAGCTTCTGTCTGATCCACAACAGAGACAGACGTGTTCAGTTTATCTGTGAGAGGGGTTGATCTCTCGAACCGATGCACAGATGAACTTAAGTCGTGCAATTCACTTTACCACTTTAAAAAATGTTTACAACTATCATTTTGGAGGCTACCTGAACTCAGACGTTTTGAAGTTAATATAGTTGCTAATTTAAATGCCATTGTTTGCATTCACTCACGTTAATGGCACTTGTAAAAAGGGCACTATAAGCATTAGCTCCAGCCTACTCCTTTTCGGTCTTGGTTTCTGTTGTAATTTGCCGTTCTGACAATGTGTAAAATGCACAAGTGACCGAAATAAACTTCATTCATTCATTCGACCACAGCGTTTTTGTGCCGTCCTAGTTCTTGTCCTGCTGGACTAGAACCAGGATGTACGACCATATTAGTCCGGTCCTCAGGTCTCTGCACTGGCTTCCTGTGGCTCAGAGAATAGACTTTAAAACAGCTCTGCTTGTTACAAGTCTCTCCATGGCCTCGCACCAAAATATATTAGTGACATGTTAGTCCCATATGAACCAGCCCGGACTCTGAGGAGCACAGGGACTGGACTCCTGTTAGTGCCCAGAGTCAGAACTAAACATGGGGAGGCTGCTTTTCAGATTCATGCTGCTAAAATCTGGAACAGTCTTCCTGAAGATGTGAGACAGGCCTCCTCTCTGACAATGTTTAAAACCAGGTTAAAAACGGTGCTGTTTAGCTGTGCATACAACTGAGGGATTTTATATTTTTAGCTTTCTTTTTAATGTTCTGTGATTATTTATGATTTTAATGCTTTCTTGTTTTGTTCAGCACTTTGAGTTGCCTTGTGTATGAACTGTGCTATACAAATAAACTTGCCTTGCCAAATCCACTGCATCCGTCTCTTTAAATGTGGCTAATTTTGACGGCTCTCATTCAAACTAATAGAATTTTGAATCAATCCCAAAAAAGCTGTTCTAGTTTTTTACTACTTTTGTTCAAATGTAGAAATGTATCAGATTTTTACTGCTAATAAGTGCTAAAACTGCTTTTTTGGTTCTTTAGAAAGACAAGTTCAGATGATTTACCTTGCTTACATGTTTCGGCTGTAGAGCTGCGAGCCATCTTCAGAGCTGTCACCCGCCTTGGAGACTGGCCACGCCCCCTCTCGCCCGGCGGTCTCTGGAGGAGGGTGTTCCATGTGTGCGACAGGAGGAAAGCTCCCTCATCTCGGTTGATGGTGTTGTTGTCCCGCTTCCTGATTTCAATGGCCTCCTTAATCCAGCGTCTGGCCCCGTCCCAGTCCATAATGTGGTTGTTTCTCTTGCAGTGATCTGAAACGGCTGATTTGAGGTTTTCCTGATTTGCTCGTTCTTTTACGGCCCGAGTGAGTCTCCCTGTTGTCTCTTCTGATGCCCTCCCCGTTTCCTCTATGTATGATTATGGACACGACTTGCATTGTCTTTCATAAATACAATGCAAGTATATAACAAGGTAACACATCTAAACTTGTCTTTCAAAAGAACCAAAAAAAAGCATTGTAACTCAAGAAAAACTTAATCTTTTTGAATCAGTGTGAAAACTGGTAAATATAACTTGAACTACAGCAGCTATTGTTGAGAGGTTTAAACAATGTGGTGCTACGATAACAAGCAGTCTCTCTCTTCTCTGGTGGATGAACAAGCTGACTCTGCTCAGAACCAGGACCAGTCTAGAACCAGAACCAGTCCAGGACCAGCACAGAAACAGAGAAACAGAAGGTCGGTTGCCAAGTGACCATAAATGGCTACAATTGTAAGTAAGTAAGTAAGTTTTTATTTATATACCGCCTTTTCACTGCAGATCTGAGTCTCAAAGCGGTTTACAATTGTTAATTTTGGGCATTTGTCTCTCACTCCACACAGAGATGGGAGCGGGGCCAGTACAGGAGGCGCATGCCAGAACTATTGGACATATTTTTAGTGGTAGGGGAAACCGGAGTACCCGGAGGAAACCTACGCAGACACGGGGAGAACATGCAAACTCCACTCAGAAAGGCCCTGGTCCGACCGGGATTCGAACCCAGGACCTTCTTGCTGAGAGGCGAGAGTGCTATCCACTCAGCCACCGTGCCGCCCAGCCACCGTGCCACCAACAAGTATTTACAGGTGGCTGAGTGCTATCCACTCAGCCACCGTGTTGGTTATAGATTTGTTGTTGACAAACTCTTGTCTATTCAGCTGTTATGGTCCCAGCTGGATCCGTCTGCATATCTGGCAACCTGAGTCAGGGAGAGTGGGAGAGGCTGCAGTACCACTTTTGGCCAGATTTTTACATATTGCTCCTTTTAAAGAGATTTACTAATCAGCACAATAAATTGGAGAAGACGAGTCGCTCAAAAAAATCCCATTTATTTAAATTTATCCAACAATTTCAAAAGATACGATAGACAAACAAGTCATCGATTTCATGTACAAGCTGTTTGTTCTGCTCATCCACCGCTCTGAAGCTTTGTCAGAGGCTCCGCCCACCGCTTTTCATCGAGAGCTCACAATCTCATTGGCTGCTGATTAAAATATTTATCTGTCATTGGCTGTAGCACAGAAGAAGGAGGGTGTAAGAAAAGATGTCGCTATGGCACGGCACATGCTAAAGTACAAATGCATACAGTACACAAACGTGCAGCCACTCATCCCTTTGATCTGCAGCAAGCTCTTGGGCGCCAGGTTGGCTAAATATTGTGTAGACGCAGCTATAAGGAACGAGGGGACGGGCCGAGTGAAGCCCAGAGGTTTTCCAACAAGAGGTTTCTCATTTACAGTAGTCTCCAAATGTTACGCAACGTATTTTGCTTGATTTAAAGCTCAAGCCACATTTTCCATCATTTTGGGAATATGTCAGATGTTTTTTTTACCGTACAGCAATCAAACAAAGCAATTTGACCCACTGATAATATGTTCGCGATGTACCATGAAGGCAAAATCAGAGGCAATGTCATTCGTTAATCAGTTTGACATATTTGGATCTCAAACTGTTCATAAATGTCTTGCACACAAACCCAGTCATGTGTCATTTCTGGATAGCAGTCGTGAGAACAGTAGTTTAACCTCATCAACACTGCATTTACAGCTTTGTCACTTTACCTTCACCAAATCGTTTACATTTTTTTAGTTTTACCACTGCAAATATGATCCATTTTAATAGTTTTTCCAATCTGTAATTTTACGTCATTATGTGTAACTTTTGCTGCCTCTTGTCCAGTACTCCTGTGAAAAGGAGGTTCTTAAACTTACTGGGACTTCCTTGGTTAAATAAAGTAAAAAAATAAAAAAATCACCAATCCACCAGTTTGTATAATGGGTAAAATTACTGAAGAATGTCCAGAATTATCTCCCTGCTCCGACACCAAACAAAGTCGTACAGTGCATTACAGATTCCCATTCAACCAAAAGCCATTCCACTGCTGCTTACAGTGCAAGTCCTGTCGCTCCTCTCGCACACATAACATTAGACATAATATTTTACGTTCACAATTAGGGGACGAATATATTCTCTTTTGGAAAATCTCAACTCTGATGAAATCGTATCGAAAATAATAACGACAGTCTATATAAGAAGGTAGAAGGCGCACACGGACATCACCGGCTCATTTGACGTGAAAAGAAGAAAATCCAGTCTCGGTTTGTGCAGGGTTTTTTTTCAAAGATTTAGTTGATATTTCTGTGCAATGAAGCAAAAGGAGATGGAACCGAACCCCGGCAATAACATGAAAAAAAAAATAATTCCAACTCAACGCCAGTGTCTGAACTTCTGCTTCCCCTGCTTCTCATCCACAGCCTCCACGGTCGACATGATGTAAATTAAGCGTGTGACGATGGAGACGGTTTATCGGGAGAAGACTTGAGTTCTGGAGGAGGGCGGGGGGGGTGTACTTTTTTGGATCCGGAAAAAAAGCACGCCCGAGTCCTGTCTCGTGGTGGTGGTTTTTCGGGGGTTTAGTCTCAGTCTGCGTAGAGGATGAAGCCGGAGAAGGTGCTGTACTTGTTGTTGTTGCCGCCGTGAGCTTTGCCTCCATCCAGTTTGATGTAGACCTCGTCGCCGGCGTCCAGGTGCAGGATGACGCTGTTGGAGGCGTAGTCGTAGTTCTGGTCGGCGTCCTGGGCGATGGCGCTGGCCCGGACCTGGACACAACAAGCAACGGAGAATAAGTGAGGAAGAAATCTGTATTTTACACAGCGCCTTTCACAGACCAGAGTCACAAAGCAGTCTACAATTGTGGGCATTTGTCTCTGACTCCACACGGGGAGAACATGCAAACTCCATTCAGAAAGGCCCTGTTCTGACCGGGATTCAAACCCAGGACCTTCTTTCTGTAAACTGAAAGTGATGGCTAAATGGATGTCATGGCGTGTGTGTGAGTGTGAGTGTGAGTGTGAGTGTGAGTGTGAGTGTGAGTGTGAGTGTGAGTGTGTGTGTGTGTGTGTGTGTGTGTGTGTGTGTGTGTGTGTGTGAGAGTGTGAGGACCCCCTTTGAAAACGAGAAGATTTATCTCAAGGGTCTCATCCGCTAAAGCAGTGTCTCCCAAAGTGCGGTCCACGGTGGGGGTACTGCAGGGGGGCCGCGAGAGGTCAAAAAAAAAAGAAATGTTTTATATAATTATTGTATGTTGAATTAATAATATTTTGTTGGTAAAGTTAAAATATTTGTGTTCATTATTTGACTTGAAAAATCAAATTGTATTGTGCATCATTTGCATGTTTGTAGCAGAGGCCATTTCCCCCAAATAAAATAACAAGAAGAGCCTGTTTTTAACGTTGTCTTCTTGGTTATTATTTCGGGGGGCCGCGCAGACCCGTCAGATTTTTACTGACTTTGGGAATGGCTGCTCTAAATAACAAAAAAATAAATAAATGTATGGACAGAGGTTATGATCGTAGACCCGCCGGGATCAAAGTCAGTCGACACGGCTCCAAAGTGCTGTGCGAGGAAAGGTTTATTTGTATAGCACGGTTCATACAAAAGGTAACACAAAGTGCTTAACAAAAACACAAGGCGTTCGTAAAAAAATCACTGCACATTAAGTGAAAATACAATCGTTCAGTTGTAGCACAAAGAGACAGAACTGTTTCTAACCTGGATTTGAACAATGTCATAGAAGAAGCCTGTCTCATTTTTTTCAGGAAGACTGTTCCAGATTTGAGCTGCATGAATCGATGTCCAGTCCTGACTCTGGGACCAGCAGGAGGCCAGTCCCTGTGCTCCTCAGAGTCCCAGCAAGAGGCCAGTCCCTGTGCTCCTCAGAGTCCCAGCAGGAGGCCAGTCCCTGTGCTCCTCAGAGTCCCAGCAAGAGGCCAGTCCCTGTGCTCCTCAGAGTCCCAGCAGGAGGCCAGTCCCTGTGCTCCTCAGAGTCCCAGCAGGAGGCCAGTCCCTGTACTCCTCAGAGTCCCAGCAAGAGGCCAGTCCCTGTGCTCCTCAGAGTCCCAGCAGGAGGCCAGTCCCTGTGCTCCTCAGAGTCCCAGCAAGAGGCCAGTCCCTGTGCTCCTCAGAGTCCCAGCAGGAGGCCAGTCCCTGTGCTCCCTGAACTTATGTCTCAGATGTACTCTGGTTCGAGGCCATGGAGAGACTTGGACACAACCAGAGCCGATGTAAAGTCTGTACTCCGGTAGTCTGTAAAGCCGGTGCAGACACCTCAGGACCGGGCTGATGTGGTCGCACTTCCTGGTTCTCGTCAGGACCCGAGTCACAGCTTTTTGACCAGTGCAAAACCATGAACACTGTGGAGCAACATCTCAAGTAGAAAAAAAGCAAGAAAAATAAAATGTATAAAGCACAAAACAACGACTGTTTCAGAGCGACTTCGGACCTGCTGCCGTTTTCCAGCGCAATCTAAAGTAAACATTGTTTGTAAAGAACCAGGTCGGAACAGTCACCTTTAAAAGAAAGTACACAGAGGGACTTGATTTTCCAATTTCAACCAGAAATTGCTAAAACACTAATAAAACAACAGCTTTTAGTGGCACGTGTGGGTGTAAGATTTAAACATGCTATTTCATTAATGAATTACATACTTACTAACTCAGATATACAGTATAAACAAGTTTCTCGGACTTTAGGCAAACGTCTCTCTCTTTGTGACACACCCACACGAGTCGCTGAAAGCATTGTCTAATCTGTGTTTTTGCGATTTCTTTGTACAAATTGCATTATCAAGTGTCCTCCATGTATTTTCTTTTAAAGGCGACCGTTACGACCCGGCTCTTTGCTCGCAGCGTACACAACGGCCAAAAGAGACACACAACTGTAACACACAACATAAAGGCCCTGCTCAAATACAGTCCTCTACATCATTTTGTGTATCTACCTGTAGAGCTTCTTGATACTAATATATTTGGATGTTTTTATGTACTTCTGATTATTAGGCCCGAGCCCCAACCGGGGTAAGGGCCTATTGCTTTTCCAATCATAACTGTCATAAGTCACAATCTCCGGGCTGCGCCCGGAGATTGTGACCTGCACGCGACGGCACGTGCCCAAGCACTGATAAATCCGTGCTTGGCTTTGCTCCTGCTGTAGTACACAGTGAAATGATTGAGGTCCTATTAAAGGGGGGTTCTTTCAACTGTCTTATGGACAAACCCGACGGCACGTGCCCAGACACTGACAAAACAGTGCCGGAGGCACTGAATAGCTTTGCTCCTGCTGTAGTACACAGTGTAATGAATGGGGTCCTATGGGGGGGGTGGGTGACCTGATGATGGCGAGGTGACGCGCTCGTCAATCACCGAGAACCCATTAGTTGCGTTCGCCTCGTTGTTCGCTTTAAAACGACGTATCATTTGTATTATAGGTTACTATGGAAACCTATATTGTTTTTGCTCCTTATTTATTTCATTTTTCTTCTGCGCTTTGAACCTTAATTTGACCTCCTGAACATTGATGAAAAGTTGTGAAATTTTGCCCAAAATTCAGAACCGGCGAAAAATAAATTTTTTTGGTGTTTATTTTTATGGGACAAAAAAAATGCCCGAACAGCGCCCCCTACAAAAGTCAGTTTACATTGCGCCTATGGGAGGGGGTCGGAGGTCAAGTTTGTCGTAGAGCCACGAAACTCGGTACACATGTTCCTCAGGTCAAGACATGAAAAAAAAGTTATTATGGCTCCGCCCCCTGACAAACAGGGAAATCATTAATTTCAATGGAAAATGGAAAAATGAAAATTGATATTTTTCACACATGTCGGTTGGAAATTATCTCCTCCTCGGCCGTTTCACCGATTTGTCTCAAAATCGCTCCACATGGTCTAAACACATGTACCATCAATTATTGAATATAGAATTTGGATCAGTTAAACGTTGTCCGAGCAGCAGAGCGGCAAAATGTGACATTTTTTTTCCCAATTTCTACAAAAGTCAATTTGCTCCCGTTTGCACAAACAAAGCCGGATTTGCACAAAATTTTAATCAATTGTTCAGCTCCAGGGTCTAGGTCATTTGAAAGTGGAAATATTGAAATTTGCTCATTAGCGCCCCCTAAAGACTATGTCAAAGTTTTACATGGGCATTTTCAAATTTAGTTTTTTCAAAATGTTTGAAATTTTGCACATAATTCTGTTTTGTCATCTGGATTCAAAAAGTCAATGACCACATATGGTTATTTTTTACCCTGTTGCCGTGGCGACGACCAACACTCCCCTGTCTGTGTCTATGGCGAAATCGTTAAATCTCTGAAAAGTACACCTCGCTCAAACATCAAACCAGCCGCAGCCGTTTCACTAATTTGTCTGAAAATCGTTCCACATCGTCTCAACACATGGACCATCAATAGTTGAATATAGAATTTTAATTAGTCAAACGGTTTGCGCCTGACAGACTCCCAAAGTGTGGTTGTTTTCATAGAGAGATGTGAAGTTCCCATGTTATCCAATGGAGACTCTATGGACACACTCACAGATTGTATGGGCAAACAGGAGCACATTCACTAAACTTGACTCTGTTGTTCAACTCCTGGGCCTAGGTCACATGACAGTGTGAACAATGACATTGGCCCATTAGCGCCCCCTACAGGCTGAGTAAAGGTTTACATGGGGATAAAGGTATTTAGGTTTTCTGTTGTTTGATCTCATATTTGACCCACTGAACAAACACGAAAACTCACCAAACTTTGCCACAAGTTTTTTTCAGGCATAAAGTGTATTATTTTGGTGTTCTTTGGTATAACACTAAAAATTTGAAATTGTAGGGGGCGCTATTGTACAACATTAAATGCCACCATTTGCACATACAAAGTCCGATTTGCACAAAATTTGAATTGATTGTTCAACTCTTGGGTTTGGGTAAACTGAAAGTGTAAAAGACGAAATTGCAACAATAGCGCCCCCTACAGACTGAGTCAAGTATTACATGGGGAGAATGAGGTTTATCTTTTCAATAGAGACACATGATCACTGATCATAGGAATTCAAAATGCACAGTGTCGCTCCCATCAGGGCTGTGCGAAAATGGCGCGTCAGCGCCACCTCCTTTGCGCGGTGCGGCGAGGGCCGTTAGATGCCGCTTGCGGCTTTAATTTCTTTCTTTCTTTCTTTTTTCTTCTGCGCTTTGAACCTTAATTTGACCCCCTGAACATTGATGAAAAGTTGTGAAATTTTGCCCAAAATTCAGAACCGGTGAAAAATTAATTTTTTTGGTGTTTATTTTTATGGGACTAAAAAAATGTCAGAACAGCGCCCCCTACAAAAGTCAGTTTACATTGCGCCTATGGGAGCGGGTCGGAGGTCAAGTTTGTCGTAGAGCCACGAAACTCGGTACACATGTTCCTCAGGTCAAGACATGAAAAAAAAGTTATTATGGCTCCGCCCCCTGACAAACAGGAAGCTCATTAATTTAATTGGAAAATGGAAAAATGAAAATTGATATTTTTCACACATGTCGGCTGGAAATTATCTCCTCCTCGGCCGCGTCACCGATTTGTCTCAAAATCGCTCCACATGGTCTAAACACATGTACCATCTATTATTGAATATAGAATTTGGATCAGTTAAACGTTGTCCGAGCAGCGGAGCGGCAAAATGTGACATTTTTTTTCCAATTTTTGACAAAAGTAAATTTGCTCCCATTTGCACAAACAAAGTCCGATTTGCACAAAATTTTAATCCATTGTTCAGCTCCAGGGTCTAGGTCAT